TAGGGAGTTTAGGGAGTTTAGGGAGTTTAGGGTTTAGGCTTTAGGCTTTAGGGAGTTTAGGGAGTTTAGGGTTTAGGGTTTAGGGAGTTTAGGGAGTTTAGGGAGTTTAGGGATTAGGCTTTAGGCTTTAGGCTTTAGGGAGTTTCGGGAGTTTAGGGTTTAGGGAGTTTAGGCTTTAGGGTTCTACACCCTAAGCCCTAAGACAGCCACCGCCATGAGCTCAGGTAGCCGCCCTTCGGAGGCTGCAGAGAACAGCTCAAGGCACCAGATAGGGTTTAGGGACTAGGATAGGTTCGTTCCAAACACAGGGATCCTTTGTCGCAAACGTTTCCGAAGTATCTGTTGATTACCAGCAGGACCCCAGCAAGGTCGCCACAAGAGCGCCTGCCTACTTCTGTTTGGAATAGGGTTCAGTTGCTGTCCGGGGTCTGTCGGCCTGGTCTGCTATTCGGCGCGAAACCATTCAGGGTTTCGGTCCAGCAATCACCTGAACTTCATACTCCAGCCTTCAGCATCTCCTCAAACCCTAACCCCTAAACCCCAAACCCTAAACCCGAAAGTGTCGGATTTCGCTGCTTTCTCAAACCTTTACTCGAAACTCCAGGCCACAGGTTCGGCTTCAGCCCGTTGCAATTAAAAGACTAAGCCTTTTTTGCGAGTGTTGTAATGGGCTCTTATAGAACCCTAGTTTCACTACCCGATGCTTCTGAATCCTGCAAGCTGCCTTTCTGGGTGGCCCTCCCCCAAACCCGAAACCCTAAACCCTAAACCCTAAACCCCACACCCTAAACCCTAAACCCTAAACCCTCAACTCGAAACCCTAAGCCCTTTGCGCAGGAACGGGCGCAATTAGCCAAACGGCTGGCGTCTCCGCTGCCACGGTATGGTCAAGAAGCTCGCTGGGAACCGGTGAGGTGCCGGGGGCGGCAGTGGAAGGTGTTTTTTTTGGGGGGGGTTTAGAGTTTAGGATTTAGGGTTTAGGGATTAGGATGGAGGGTTTAGGGTTTAGGGTTTAGGGCTCTTTCGAATATGGATGCTACTACATGAGGCCTATGTTAGGGGATCTTTCTGGACTGGAGTCTTCGGTAGCAGTGTCTGTTGTGGCATTTCTTGGAGTCTGTGCTAAACCGACACCTGAAAAGCACTAATTTGGGGTTTGGAGTTTAGGGTTTAGGGTCTAAGCCTGAGATCATGATGCATAGGAGTGAAAGGATGCTGTGCAGAAGGACGTGTTCAGAAGTGATATCTGAAGCGTGGCTTCCTTAATGTTTCCGTTGATAGTAGTATAGAAGCCAGTATGAATGTCAATGTTGCTCCTTTGGGTCCCTTGCAAAAATAATACCAGAACATACGCCAAGACAGGCTCCAATTATTTGGCGCCCCAAGCTTTCTTAAGATTAGCAATAACATACCCTCGTAGTCCCTAGTAGTCTAAGTATAATGGACTTCAAAGCCCAAAGCTTTTTGTGTAGGCCCGGTAGGAAAAGGCATGAGTCGGGTACCAGGAAGAAGTCCAGAAATTAGTTGTCTAAGCTACTGTAGGGACCCTTTGAGTAGCTTTCTGCTAAGAGTGCCAGCCTCTACCGGGCACACGAGACAGGAAACCCAAACCCTAAACCCTAAACCCAGAACCCTAAACCCCAAACCCTGCATTGACAGGGCAGCTTCCTCAGCTCCGTGCTGACGTTGCCTCTTCGCCGGAGGCCGTGGGACTGATAAGCCTTGGTTTCGGGTACATCGCACCACTCATAGGGTTTAGGGTTTAGGGTTTATAAGCATCGATCAAAGCATGGCAAGAAACGCAGAGTCATAGTCATAGGTAGCTTACATACACACATCGCATACATGCCACAACCTGTTTTGTCCGCACTCTGTCAAAGAGGCACGCGTCTCTGTGAATTTCCACACCCATCGGCCACAACCCGTACACTTACACCACTGACCCCGAAACACACAACCCTAAACCCTCAACCCTAAAACCCTCAACCCTAAAACCCTCAAGCCCTAAACCCTGAGCCCTAAACCCTCAAACCCTCAAACCTAAAACCCCAAACCCTAAAACTCCAAAACAAGAGCTCAAGCCTGAAAACCCATTCTTAAATAACTTTCCGCTCCCTGAACCCTATGCCCCGAAACCCGTGGATATCCCGAATCCTAATGGTTTACGGTTTGGGGTTTAGGGTTTAGGGTTTAGAGTTTAGGGTTTAGGGTTTGGGGTTTAGAGTTTAGGGTTTAGGGTTTGGGGTTTAGGGTTTAGGGTTTAGGGGCATCCCAAACCCCCAAATCCCAAAGTCCAGAAGCCTCAGAGAGGAACGTGCTTTCGCCAGGTTTCTCCAGACTGTTCTCTGGCCTTTGCTGAATCGGCCCTTTGGCTGCTCAGGAGTTTAGGCGTTGACAGGAAATGTAGGGGCCCCCAAAAATATTGAATAGGTTTTTCTGGGGTATGTATGTATATATATATATATATTTAGAATCAGAACAAGGAACCACCAGAGTAGTCTTGGTCAGCTTGGGCTCGCCTTGTCTGAGCCTTGGTGGAGGCCCTCGTCGAGGGCCTTTGGGTGGCGTCTTAACCACGGACCTTCGCGGGACGAGCAGGTTGACGTATTTGACAAGCTTGGGCTCGGAGGTGTATGGTGCTGTTGAGAGTTGGTGGCCTCCGGGCCAAGTCGAAGAGTTCATAGTTTATGGGTTCCGGACGACAGGATTAAGTTTAAGGAGCATCCTTATAGAACCCTGCAGCACCCTTACGGAACCTTTTGAAACCCCTATACAACCAAATAACCTCCAATACAGCTTTGAAGTGTGTAAGGTTTAGAGTTTAGGCCTTTGGCGTCTAGGGACTTTCCAATGCCGGGGGGCCTCGAATGCCTTTGGGGCAAAGGCCTTGCAGCTATTTCGATTCTACAAGGTACTTGAACCATATGAAGCCTCCTTGTTCTACTATATGGATAGTTCTCTTAATTAGGGTCCCGTTTCGAGTCTTTTTGTATAAGGCTGCCGTACGATATTGGAGACTTCAAAAGGGACCCCAATTTCCAGAACTACCCATATGAACCCTCCTTGTTCTGATATATGCCCCATACAACACCCTAACACGGTCGGCTCTGCAGGGCGCAGGTATGAAGGCATATCTTTCGCCCTCGATGTCCAGAAAATTCTGAACAAGCCCAGAGGCCTTGAACCCATGAGCTTTTATCCGGCAAAAACCCTATATTCTACTCCAGTATAACTCTAGTAGAGTTTAGATTTTTGGGACTCCGAGGTTCTTTTGGGTTTGGGTCAGTCCTTCTCTGAGGACGGCATGTCCCCCTTCAACCACGCCGGGGCCGCGGCTCACGGTGCACCTCAGGGGTGGTGACACCATCCCGGCCCTTTCGCCGGACGGATGCAGGGCGCTTTTGGGGTGTCGGGACGGTTTGGGGTTTAGGGGTGTCGGGACGGGATGTTTGGGCGCGTAACAGTCGTGTTTTCATGGTTCCTAACCCTTAACCCGTAAAACCTGAATCACACACCCCCCCCTGCAAGCAGCTTGCTGTTTCGGGGCCGGGTGTTTCGGGCTTCTTGCATGCATGCGCTTCGTTTTCGTGTAGGGCATGGGTGAGTGTATACAGGGCTCCGCGGGGAGATTGGCGAATGTGTAGGTGGGGATGCTAGTCGTGCTTGAGATGTGTATGGGGCGGCACAATCAGTCGTACTGTTCCTCAGGAAACCCCTCCTCCAGTTATGTGTTCATCCTTTTCCAGTGTCCCCCCGAAACCTGGGTCCAATCATCTTGGCTAATGTACGGGCCTTTAAGTTCGAGTTTCTCAAGACTCAGAGCTGTGGCATTCTACGCATGATGTCGTTCTGCAAGACATGCACGCAGTGGCTTCCATAAGCAGCAACAGAATTACTTCTTTCACAATCCCCCTAGCCTTCTAGTATAAAACGAGCACAACTCCTATGCCACCTGGTCTCGCAACCCCAAACTCGTGTCTTCTCTGTCTTGGGGTTGGAGGTTTCAGAGTTTTAAGGTCTGTAGGGCTTTGGGGTTGAAGTTTCTGGCAGAAGAGTCTAGGACATTTTCAGGTGGGTAGTTACCATTATAGGAGCCTTCTAGAAGGTCTATATACCCTATAGAAGCCTTATAGAAGCCCTATATTCCCTAAACTCCCCACCTGTAGTTTCCTTTAAAAGAGGACCATGCTCAACCTCCCTGTGCAATCTACGACCACATCATGGGCTCTGGACGTTTCCAAGAGCTCGAGACGCTACGGCTGGGTCTGTTGTCGTTTTTGATCCGCCCCACCGATTGGGGTTTAGGGTTTAGGGTTTAGGGTTTAGGGTTTAGGGTTTAGGGATTAGGGTTTAGGGTTCAGGGTTCAGGGTTTAGGGATTAGGATTTGCGTGAGTTGGGGTTTGTATTCAGGTTTCTGTGAGTGCGTGTAGGTTCCCTGGGGATGGTGGTGAGTGTGTATTTTGGATTGGATGCGATCATGGGGATGCTCGTAATGAGAAATCTACTATGTGAACTGACTTGACACAAAACCAGAGGTAAAATCGCGACTGCCCAAAAAAATTGTAAGGCCTAGGTTTTAAAGTCCTCACCTCTGATGGCTTCTTTCCAAGCAAGATTCGAGTCTGTAGCTGCCCAGCCTCAACATCGTTTCTAATGGTTTTTGTCATGCGCTATGTTCTGACTGCAGAGTAATCGAAGAACGTCAAAGATTGTCAGGAGTTGACGGTTTTTTTTGACCGTCCTGGACCGTCTGCTGGCTTTGCTCTGGAAAGTTCGAGCTTTAGTGTAGCTGCCCGGAAACTGCCAAACAAGCCCAGAGCTGCTTCGTAAGACGTCCAAGAAGGAACTCAGCCTGCAGGGAGTTTCGACGAAGCCCTCCGCAACCATCCAGATCTCAAAATCCCAGCTGTCGTAGAACCCCGAAGCCGCCCAGTAGTTCGAGACACCCGAAAGCCTACTTGAGGGTTTAGGGTTACGGCTGTTCTCCTCATGAATCAGCAACAGCGGCAGCACCAGCAACCCCGTACTCCGTACGCTTCTTAATGTAATTCCGGAAGCCCTAACCACATTCGTATCAAGCCCCACAAAGGAACCTAGTACACCACCCTAGGATTGTGGCCGAAGACGACCGGAATCCGTGCTTGGCACACCTTCGAACTAACTATGCAGAGAAGTCCCGCGCTCAACATGGGTCCCTTCATGTTTAGGAAATATGGGAGGGTTCCAGAGGTTTCACATCCTCCTGTTTTTTTTAAATATTTTTTCTTGGGGGTCCTGTCAGTGTGGCATCACCGAAGCGTTGCAGGCGGTTTGGGGTTTCGGTCGGAAGGCTGGGGAGTGGATTTAGGGTGTACGCCTTTGGGGCTTAGGGGGCAGGGACCTGTCTGAGACTAAAAACCTATGAAAGCAAGACCCGATCAGGGCACTCACAGTCAAATGCTCATAACCAAGCACAAGAATCAGAGGTACCTTGCAAATGGGAGTTTCAGGAGGTAGACATGCTGTAGCCTCAGATGGTATTACCCTTACTACAAGTACCCCTGAATAAAGTACCCTCCCTCTCCGTCATTTATTCGTCGCTGAATCTGACTGTCAGAGGTGCCGGGCACCTCCTTAAGCGAAGCGGGTGCCGAGTAGATCCCCTCAATGTGAGGAGATTCAATCCCAGCGTCTAGCAGGGAGCCAGCCCCAAAGCCTACCCTTCCCTAAACCCCAACCCCTAAGCCCCCCAATCCCTAAACCCTCTAACCCCAAATCCTAACTCCTCCACCTTAGATCCCAAGCCTTAATCTGCCCTAGACGGGCTTCGGAGTGCAGGCGGCGAAAAAGGGCCCTTCAACACAAAACCTTACAACCTTTAAAGCTTAGGGGTTTAGGGTTTAGGATTTAGGGTCTCCCCCCAAATGGGCTTGAAGCCCCCAAGCCCGACGATCAGGCTCGCAGGTGCCTGGGTTGGAGGCTCCTTCGGGGAGGCCGGGAGGGTGGGGGGTTCCGGGGTTTTGGGGTGTTGGGCTGTTGGGGTTTTGGGGGTTCCGGGTTGGTCAGGGTTTACGGTGTTAGCGCTGTAGGGTTTCAGGGCTTTTAAGGCTTTTTGGGATAGCATGAGCCCCCACAGTCATCATCACACCCTGGGGGCTTTAGTGTTTTTGGGTTAAGGGTGCGGGTGAGGGTTTAAGTATTTCCGGGTTCAGGTTTCAGGGGTCAGGCTCAGGACCTAGGATGTGGAGCCCGGGCCTTTCTGGGAGATTTAGGGTGTAGAGTTTTGGGTTTAGGGTTTAGGGTTTAGGGTTTAGAGTTTTGGGTTTAGGGACTACAAGCCCGAAGCAGTAGCCCTTTGGCCTTGGGCCCACAAGCTAATCAACCCTAAATCCCAGGTCTTGCTTTTGAGGCCGGACCACCAGGTGGAAGCGTTGTGGGTCTGTTCTAAAGCAGGGTTCCCTTTACTTGCAGGAGGCAAGTGGGCAAGTACGAGTCTACATAAACACCCGAATCAGGACATATGTAATGGAGAGCAGGATTTCCTTACAGTTCCTTGACAGAGGCTCCTCAACAAGAACCCTCAACCCTAAACCCTAAACCCTAAACCATAAACCCTAAACCCTAAACCCAAAACCCTAAACCAAGCCATGGTCCGGGGTGGCCGAGGCGGTCTGCCGCCTGCTCTCTGCACGGAACCTGGTTTTTGCCACCAGCTCCCTCACAGGCGCGGGGCGGACTTTCCGTGATTTTCCCATAAATTTGCGTAATTCATCGTGGAATCATCTGCTATAAATCCTGAGCTAGCACCCCGATCGAGACTTTGGGGGCTTGAGGGTTTGGGGATGAGGATAACCTTGAGAACTCCAGAGTCTTCACTGTGATTTTTGCGATTGCGAAGACTGCCACAACTGAGTCAGGCGCCTCTTAACTTCACGCTCCGGCTTTGGGTTCAGGGTTCAGGGTTCAGGGTTTGGGGTTGAGGGTTGAGGGGTTGAGGGTTTAGAGTTTGGGGTTTAGGGTTTGGGGTTTGGGGTTTGGGGCTTAGGGAACCATGAAGCTTTCAAAACGACTCCGAGGAAACTTAGCCCTCGTCGGCCACGCTGAGAACGTCTTCGTCCCGCTGCCGACGCCCATGATTTCACCAGGTGGCACATAACCCTAAACCCTAAACCCTAAACCCTAAAACCCTAAACCGTATTTTGAAAAGCAAACCGTAGTGCATGGAGTTAGTTGTCTAAACAGACCTATGATTGCATCAGGTGGCACAGAAAACGCTGCGGTTTAGGCTTTTAGGGCCTTTGGAGGTTTAGGAGTGTTGAGGGCTTGGGATTTAGGGTTGGCACATACGGGTTTGGGGTTTGAGGTTTTACATTTGGAGCTTGGGGCTTCGATGTCAGGAGGTCCTGTTTTCACAGGGAAGCCGGTCGGAATTCGGAATTCGGATCTCGTGGGTTGAGGGTTTAGGGTTTGGGTTTAGGGATTAGGGTTTAGGGCTTAGGTTTTAGGGAAGTAAACCCCAATCCCGTGAAACTAGATGGAGCTTGGGGTTGAAGCCTCAGGCTTCGTGGCTGCAATTAGGGCGTCAGGGTCACGTCTCAGATGACTTTCAGTTGCGCGCTTTTTCCAGGCCCTAGACCGTAAGCCTTAATTAGACTCGATAGGGTTTAGGGTTTAGGGTCTTAGGGTTTAGGGTTTAGGGTTTAGGGTCCAGGGTTTAGGGTCGAGGGTTTAGGGTTTAGGGTTTAGGGGTTTAGGGGTTTAGGGTTTAGGGTTTTAGGGGTTTAGGGTTTAGGGTTTAGGGTAGACTCTAGGCCTTAACCTCCTAGCCCTGAAGCCCCCGATTCTTCCGAACCCTGGGAGCTCTGCGTCTGTCAGGCACCACATCATTTGGCTTTGCTTTCGACGCGCCCGGGCGTTACTGTGAAGGTTTAGGGTTTACGGTTTAGGGTTTACCTAAACCCTAAACTCTAAACCCTAAAGTTTAGGGTTTAGGGTTCAGGTTTTTTCGGGAAATTCGACCTTCGCCCTCAAGCCTCTTTTGTCTCGGTGGGGTCCAGTAGCTTGGCTGGAGCATATGAAGTATGGATATGAAAAGGGAAGCTGGTGAGTATATACAGGGCTCGTTTTGATGATTGGTGAGTCCGTATTTGGGGTTTTTGTGGGAGACTTGCAATAAAAGCCCCACGTTATGTCGTATTGTAAGAGTGCCCCAAAACCCTAGTCTCATCATCAAG